AGATGTACAGTCTTCTTGGGGATAAACTTTACAAATGTCTTGTATAAAGGCATCAAAAAGGCTACTTTTATCAGAATAGAATGTTCTCCACATGTATTCACACAAATGCTTGTCAAAGCCATGCCCCAATTTTTCTAATATGCCCCTTAAAATAAACCCTTTTTAGAATATTTTTTTATCCAGGCAATTCTACAATTTTTGGGTGGGGTGCCATATGGAACTCTTTCCCCTACTACTAGCAACAGAGTACTGTCTCAATATCTTGAATGACTTATGCTAATGCTCTTTTTTTCAACATGCTATTGAATGAATTCTGAATTATTTTAAATGTGTGATCTAAATTATTTTAACCCACTATAATTATCATTTTCTAACAAGTAATCTAAGTTAACTCATCCTCTATACAACTAAAAATGATTAAAGTTTTACTGGTATCAGCAAACTTTACTAATTTACTAATTATGCACCTATCAATATTATTAATGTGAATAATAGAAAGCAAAGATTCAAGTACTAACCCTAAAGCACACCTCCAGCAAGAAGGTCTTGGTGTGATTTTCTTAGTTCATTTTTGGATACCTTATCAAAAGCTTTTTTGAGAATTTAGATTTATTGTACCAATACCACCCCCTTTCTATCATCGAGATAACATGTAACAACCTCATAAAGAGAAGTTCAAAGATTTAGTAAGGTAAGGTTTCCCATTATTGAAGCCATGTTGCTCTCTCTAATGATATTTATTATACAATGTTTTTCAAACTTGTTTTTTATCAAGATCTTTAGAATTTTTGTTCTTCTCTACAGAGGTAAATCTAACTGTATTTAATATTCAGGAGAATATTAAAGATAAGAGTATCATTAGCAACTATTCAGTCCTAAGGCACCTGCTGATTGGTTGTTATTTTACCAAAAATGAGAAAGAAACTGTAAGGAAAATTATGTCTGGTCCTGGTCCTATTTTTGTTGTTAACCTTTCTCAGGTTGCTTATGATTCAAAGAATTAACATCTATACAAATCAGGTGAATTCTAGTATTTCACTTAAAATGATCAGGGGCAGGAATATTGCTTACATCCTTTCTATTACTACTTGGTCCCCCAAAAAAGTGCATACAGTTTCTTTCCTTTACTGCAGCATTTCTCAAAGTGTGCAGTGTGCCCCCCCCCATAGGGGGGCACAACTGATCTCATAAGGGGGCATGAGAGATGAGGGCAGAGTGAATAATACAAAATTAAGCATTTTAATATATTTTCTTTATTACTGAAAGTAATAAGTAATTACTACAACACAAAGTATTTTAATGTGTATCTGTGTGTTATATCTCATAACCTAACTCACTCTCACTCATTTAAAAAAAGGTGTGGGTGCATTCAAGAAACCATATTTATTAAAAGGTGGGGCATGGATGACTAAAGTTTGGGAGACGCTGCTTTACTGCATGCACATTTAAGACGATTTAGTGTTTATTATAGTGCAACAATCGTTACCAGTGTCTCTTAGTAGCACAATTACATCAATTATCTACATTGACATTGGGTGTGAAGGCTGAAACGTAAAAACATGTATTAAAAATTAACATTCAATATTGTACTTGCTTTTGCAGGAAAAGCGAAAATCCACTGTTCTTCATTTTTATTAATGTCACATAATACAGAACTTAGATAATGTTTAAATGAAATACTTCATTTTATGAAACAGTTTTATTTTTTGAACATTTGTTTGTAAAGTGTAATTTAAAATACCATGTGCCATTCAATTCATCATTGTACTGTGGATACCACTAACCACTTCCTAATACCATTATTTCAATGGCAAGAGCTTTTTGTTTGTCTAGTTTCATTTGCTACTTAATAGAATGTACATTCCTTCTTTTATACAGTTCATAACTCATTTTAAGTGCAATTTATAATTTCAGTATCTGTTTTTATGACCTGTGACTTGATAAAGTGAATGTAGAGATAAAATAAGTGGAGGAGTTCATTTAGTTTTGTTTGGTCGTTCTGGTGAGTATAGGGTTGAAAAGTCATACATCAGTTAAGAAAGTTTTATTTTCTAACAGAATGGTTAATATAATCAATGGTCTTTAGCAGTGGAGATCAGCACTTAAGTTTAAGATGGCAGTCAATGATTTCCTTAAATATTGTGTTGGCTTAAACTTTTGTCTTTCTGTTACAAATGAAACATACTACAATTTTCCAAACATATTGAATGTCACAGGTTCCAAAATTATTTTTAACCGCATGAGTTGATATACATGTCTTACATATAAAGAATTGTCAATCATTACAATATAGAATGTATAGAATTCATAAAGTATTTATTG